TATTATATTGCAAAACGTAAAGGACCAAAATTGAAAAAACTGTTCTTTGGCCTAGGAAGTAGTCGAGATTGCATATTTGCCATATTTCCTTCATATTCTCTTATTTTTTAAGGAATATAGAAAAATGTTCAATATATTTTTTGTAGAGAATTAAATGACGCTTAATTAAAAAAAAGAAATTAAAATTTTACCATATTTCTGGACTGAGATATGTGCAAAATAAAGAATGTTACAATCATTTTGGCGCAGCCGTTATAAGAGAAATTATAATCGCTTTTCTATCTCGCATGTATAGTGCATGTGCGTAAGACGTAGAGCCATTGTACTGTTCTAATCCGAGGAGTGAAAAATGAATTCTCTTTTTTTGTTTTGTTTGCCAGAAGTAAATTGTATATTTCCGAAAATATGATCTCTTGTTCACCCGATATAGCAGTTGCATTGTTGCTCGTTTTTAGCGCCGTATGTCGATGAAAAGCTAAAATTGTCATCTGAATGGAATACGTTCATCTTTGTGTATGAACTACAACAAACACAGGTTAATTTTGCCTGATATGAACGAATAGATGATTTATTTGAAGAATCTAAGTGAATTTACAGAAACAATAGCGGTCGGTACACCGACTTAACTCGTTTTCCAAAGCAAAAAAAATTTTTTTTGTCTCACTAATATCTCCACGAAGAGCTAATCTTTACCGCTTCTATTTCAGAGATTAATAATTCCAGAAAGAATAGGATAATTATTCATAATGGATAAAAAGAAGGCAATGAACACGACTGATGAGACGTTACAATCGAAAAAAACAGATAGTGATACACCTCAGTATAAATGGGTGATACAGCCGCCAGATGGCGGATTTGGTTGGGTCATCGCACTTGCTGCCATGGTATGCCGATAGAGGGATAGATTCCTGCAGCAGTTTAACTTTTTATTTATACCTTGATTGTTTATTTAGATGTGTAATTTGGTGTGTGATGGTACTTTATTTGCTTTTGGTGCTATGAAACCTTAGTGAGTTTTAGCTAAACTAGTTAAGTAAATCGAGTGAAGCAACAAATTTATTTGATTTCAGTTTACAAGAGTCCTTCAAAACAACCGACATGTTAATCTTGATGGTTGGTAAGTTATATAGTTTAGAAATACATTAAAGGACAAAAACATTCTGTCTTTGTTTTATTTAAAAGGATCGATTCCGTGTGGTGTCTACATGTTGGTAGGACCAATTGTTAGTGGTTTGGCAAATAAATTTGGTTGTCGTCCAATAATCATAACTGGGAGTATAGGTGCGGCCATGTGTATGATACTATCGACGTGGTCTAAAAATGTTTATCATATGATGATTATTTACGGCGTATTTGGAGGTGATCATAATTAGTTTGCGAGTTTTTTGTTTGAACGTTAATTCAAACAATTTCAATCGCTTTAGGTATCTTCTTTGGCATGGTGTATTTGCCATCTATTGTTATGGTTAGTTTTTATTTTGATGAAAAGCGAGCAATTGCTAATGGTATGTACATATGGGAATTTTACAGATAAACTATTTTAAAAAAGAAATTTGTAAATTATACACTTTAGGATTGGTAACCGCTGGCACAGGCATTGGTGCTCTCTCTTTTGGACCATTGGCTAATTTTTTATTTGCTAAATTTGGATGGCACATAGGAATGTATATATTTGCTGGTATGATGTTAAGCTGTATACTATTTGGAGCAATTATGATACCGTTGAGTAAGTAAAATAATGTTTCAATTCTAATTTATAAACTATAAATCATCTATTCTCAAAACAGAGCCCGTCAAAATTCTAATTGAAACCACACAGGATGAAATGTAAGTTAGATAGTTACACAATAATAAACTGTGAAGATAAATTATTTTATGTTCAGTTCACCTATTTTCAGTGATACAAACCAGTCACAACCGTACTCACAATTACATACAGAAAATAATCTTGTAAGTGAAATATGTGGGATTGTAGCTGAACTATTATTTACAAATTTATTTAAGCTTCCGAATAAACTTTATTCATCATCCGAAAAAATGATAGGTTATAAAATGTAAGGTTCGTGTAATGCAAAAGTGAAGCAAAACTTTTTCAATTTATTATACATCATTTGATAGAGTTTATCGAAGTGATTACGAAAATCTATCTTACAACGTTGCCTCACAAACTAGTACTCTCAAATGGCGGTGCTGAACTTTGTAAAGCTATCTAGCTTTTTGTATTAAGGATTACAGCCTTCGTTTGCACATCATTAGATCCGCTGAAATCTCAGCTTTAAAAGTACGACTCGCTTTTTTTAAAACTTTTGTTTCGTTGCTGAGGAAATTCCTTTTTTCTACATTTTCTATCCTATTCATATTCATTAATATTTTATTAATTTTCTATCCTATCCGACGATTTCAATTTTTTTCGAATTTTCACGTTGAAAAATTACCGAGATTTTCACCCAAAACTGTAAATCAAATAAAAATTTCAAAATACACATCAGTCGCCTTGGTTTTTTATCCTGATCCCGAATATGATATTCTTTAGAAAACTACCCGTAGTTTCGAAAATTTTCATAGAATTTTTCTTTCTTTTTTAGAGTCTGTGCATCTGAGTGTCCTCTTTTCAAATTCGAAAGAATTAAATTTCTATCTGTCAAGGTTTCGGAGTTACAGGCGTTTTCCGAGAACAGGTCTGTTTCGTTTTCGTCAACTTGGCCTAACTCAAAAACACATCAGACCTAGGTAATCCACCATGTTGATCACCGTGGCAATGTTTGTTTTCGTGTGCAAATCAAAATAAGGTCAGAAAGTGAAAAAAGGCTGGAACTCGGTTTTTGACCCTTTACCTGCGTAAATTAAAAACTCTCTAGCTCGATCATTTCAACTTCAATATGACTCAAACTTTCAAAAGGTACTCAGAACGGACTAAAAATCATTGTTAGATTGGAAAAAGACGGAATAGAAGCCACTGACTGTAGACGATTTCCCAGAAACCTCTCCAATCTAACAATGATTTTTAGTCTGTTCTTAGTACCTTTTGAAAGTTGATATGCATACCATTGAATAGAAAATTTAATTCTCTACAAAACGGCCCGTTTTGTTTTGACATCTATTTTTCAGTCGAGACACAATGGCCGCTTGAACGTTTCAACTTCCGCCTTGGTCTGAAAGCCTCAGAGAATTTTTCGAACTTTATTTTTCAAGTGGAGTCTTTTCAGGAAACCTAGAATTATAGAATATATAAGTATGAAGTTTTTTGAACAACGTTTAGTGCCTAAAAATGGCGCGACAAAAAAGTATGTCACAGCATTACCAAAAATGTCACATTGTTACTTTAGTAAATTGGGTTTTATAAACAAAGTAAAGCGTTCTGAAAAAACTATTTTTTAGCAAAAGAAAGCTCGTTAGCTCCTCTATAAACTTTAGTCAAGACACTTTTTATTAGCTCTTCTAAATTCGTACGACTTTGCACTTTAATGAAGAGTAGTTAGAATTTAGGGCCTTTTTATGTCACCTTGCCTGTCACCATGCCTTTTTATGTTTTTACCGGTCTAAAAAGGTTTTCTGGAAGCTCGAGTCTTTAACAAAAAATCTTTGTTTTTATATTCAAAGTAGAGTAAGAAGAGCTGCGTCGAATGGCGCAAAAAACTAGCTTTCTAACTTCTATAGTTTTCGAGAAAACCTGAAATTACTATGCTAGGAGGGAATGGCAACTTTTTTCTTAGTATCTCTCAGTATCGGATGCTTCGCATCTCAAGCTTCGGAAACCATTTCAAGGGCTCTGGAAAGCTTCCAGAGTCGCCTTTACCCTCTTGGGTAACTGTGTCAAAGCGTCTGAAAGTTCTTCATTCTGAAACGTTCTTCTTATCAGTGCGATCACTACGTCTCAAATTCACTTGACTTTGCGGTTTAATTATTGTAATTTTTAATTCCTTTTACTTTTATTGTGAGATAAACCACTGGCGAAAAATATCATGGCTTTATGTACATCTTTCTCATGTCCGTTTGTTATACGACTCATTTTCCTAATAGTTTTACCGGCATACTCTCCCAGACAGTCGTCGCTATTAATATTCTAAACCACTCCAAATACTTGTACAATGTTTAGTTTATCTTTAATTGGAAAATACCGTCTAATAGTTTCAGATGTTTTGTATATGTCGCGTAGTTCTGATTGAGGATTATTGTTGATAATAATAGTTTTTAATTGTCTTGCAAAGACATTACTACGTTTCCCGATGTAAGGTATTTCTACATAGCAAAATTTCGTATTAATATTTAATAATTAATTAGCATTTTATTGAATCGGTAGAGACTTATTTCGATCATATTTTTTTATTCTCAATCCACATATTACACTTGTGCTTGATATATAGGGTAAATATATTATATGAGACAGCAATTTGTTGATTTTAGAAGGCGCCATTATTGTCAACACCAATAATAGCCTCAGGTGAATTGCGAAGAAGTGGTGATACCACAGTCATTGTTTCCAGTGCTGATGATTTAACTCCACCTTTAAATATTTCTTCTGAATATCCTCGTATTCGAACATTATCAACATCAAGTAAAGCGTCATCGGGTGCACGACAGAATTTATCCGCTTTTACAAATCCTGAAGATGCTGGAAGACCATTATACAAAAAAGATATTTTCCTCAGTAGTACACAAAATCTCTATCGATCATCATCAGCATTTAATTTATCTGCAGAAAGTGGTACCGGGAAATATATGGCATCAATAACAAATATTCCCACTCAGTTGCAACAAGAACAAGGAACAGTGGCTGTATCAGCCGAAAAAACCAGTCGTTTTAAAGCATTTATAGATATTTTAGTGGCAATGCTTGATTTCAGCATATTGTCAAACAAAAAAATGTTATTAATATGTATTGGAAACATTTTTTCAATGTTAGGTTATTATTTACCGATAATGTGTCTCGTTTCGTTTGCTATCGACGACTTGAAAATGGAAAAAACAAAAGCAAGTTTTTTGTTGACAGTGTTTGGTGCAGCAAATACATTTGGACGTTTTGCGGGCGGATGGTTGATTTTCATTCCAGGACTTAATGCATTAAGAGTGCATAATGCTCTATTATTCATCGCTGGTATATTAACATGCTTGGCAGCATATGCATATGATTTTAAGACAGCAGCGCTTTACGCTGGATTGTGCGGTTTTGCTATTGGTAAGGAAACACACCTTTGAAAGCCAAAGCCGAGCAGAACATCTGCTGCAATTACAGTCGTATTGCGATGACAAATATGTTGTAATTTCTTTAACACTTTTTCAAAATTATTCTGATAATTCCTTGTATGCCTCCGAGTTAAAGATGTTTTAGATTTTATTGGTTTGATTACTCTATAGCCGAATGCAACATTTTGCGTTAGTATGCTTTTTGCCGGAAAATCTATTATCTAAGGCAAATCGTTACTTCTCTTTAAGAGTCATAGTCAGAGAAAGACAGATGGTATCAAACAAGTCGTGATACTTGAGGTGCATATTAAGCTGAACTTTTTACTATAAGTAGTATATGAGTTCAACTTAATCTGCAACTCAACTATGGCGACTTGGCAGACTCTATCAGACTATGACTCTTAAATATTAGATATAAGTTTTATTTCTTGTTATCTAGCGCCCCATATATCTTTGTTACCAAGCATTCTTTGCGATGTTGTTGGATTAGATCGTTACACCAGTGCATTTGGTATTTTGTTTTTATTCAGAGGTGCTACATCGATTATTGGTCCACCAGCAGCAGGTAGGAATTTAATTAATATGAGTCCTTTGAATTCATACTAATGATTCTCTTTTATATCTTCTGCATAGGCTATATGAAGGATGCTACAAACAGATATGATTTGGCATTCACCATCGGAGGTATCAGCAGTTATTTTCTTTAAAATATCAACAAAAATCATCAAACTCTTTACTATTCCGACTAGGCGTAATGATCATAATCGCTGCCTATTTCCATTTTGCACTCGGTTGTTTCCCGAAGAACGATTCGACCAGCTTATCCGCGGCCGTTCAAGATCAACAGTTATCATTATTAGAAGAAACTCCAGAAATTCTTCCATCAAAAGCCAATTTGACCGATAAAACGCATAATCACGTTGTGGCTTAAAGTAAAAGAACAGTATTAACTGACTTTCACTATTTTGATGCCATTTGTAAATACGTGTTGGTACTCACTGAATAATTTTGACGCTCTAATAACTGTTACAATGCATAAAATTGAAAGTTTAGCCGATAATGCACGCACGTTGAGCCACTATCCTCTCTGCACTCCTTGTCCAATGCAATTATAATCCATTAACATTTAATGCATGTAACGCGCTAAATTAACATATCACACGCGATATTTGAAATTGCATTTAACCCATGAGTATTCGTTATCTTTCGAACATGTGCAAAGTTTGGCTACGAATCCGATCATAGGCATACAAAGACAAACAGTTGTCTTGCATTTCGCCGTATTCTGTTTTATAGTGCTTGCATTTTGACTGTTTAATGCATTATAACGTGCGATGATTCTGAACGCATTATTAGGCGACTGTTTTTTCATGCAATATCATTGCATTTCAACTTTCCTAGGAATTTCCTGTTTCCTTAAGCAAACAGTCTAGTTCGTATAACTTGTCTCTGATGCTCAGTATTGCGAGAACACAATGATGAATCATTCGACTTACTTAATAGAATGAGAAAACGGAAGAAGAAAAGCAGGCATTCGCACACTCTAAAAAAGCGTTTTCTCGGGAACTGGATGTGGTTCGGAAACTCTTTCGGAAACTCTTTTTGGTTTTGGAACTGTAATACGAAACCCTTGGAGGTTTTGCAGGTGACGTTGGAAACCGAAAGGATATTTGAGAATACGGTACTGGGTATCCGGACTGTCGGAAACCTAACAGATATTTGGCGAAAATGTTCGAAAACGGAAAAGGTATCCTCCGAAGCCGAAAGAGTATTATCCGAAACCCTTTTGGAACCTAAACTTTCTTTAGAAACTTGCTGGGTAT